ACTAGATTTTTGCGAGTTTGGTATTTATTTGGTCATCCATAAAGACAGATCTGGAGAGGGTGATGCCCACGTAGGTAAAATTTTCCACCGCGTTTCGACGCTGTCCACTGATGTTGATGCTGGGTTTGACTCCGGGCTTACTGGCAGCTGGCTGATACATCACTTCAGTCTTCTTTGTGTTCATTGTGAGACCTAAGTTGTACCAGGCCTCACAGAAGATATCAACGCTGTGTTGCATGGCGGATTCTGAGGCAGCGTTTAGGTCACAATTGCCCACAAACAGAAGCTCGATGGTGGTGTTTTGTTTGACCCTGGTTTTACCTTGAAGCCTCCTAAGGTTGAAGACTGATCCATCGGTGTGGAAACGGATTGGCAAGCTCGTGGTGGAGTCCTTGAACGCATCAGTAAACATAATACTGAAGACTGTGGGTGCCAGGACACAGTCATGCTTTGCACTGTTTGTGACAGAGAATGCATAAGATGACTGACCGGTGTCCTGCACGCGGGCCATTGTGCCATCGTGCAGCTGACGGATGATGTTCGTGAACTTTTCTAGGCATCCATACTTCTTCATGATTTTCCACAGGCCACCTCTATTGATCCGGTCAAAAGCCTTATTCGGGTGGATAAATATGGAATATAGGTTCGTATTTTGCTCATGAAAGATTGCTCTTGGAGCTGCCTGGCAGAAAACACCATATCGACAGTTCCACGTTCTTTGTGGAAACCGCATTGACTTTCGGACAGAAAGTTAACGAACTTAAGAGGTCATAGGTTGAGTTAGCAAGTAATCACAATTTTTAAAGTTTAAAAACCGCTGCAAATATCATTGCATAAAATTTCACATAGAAATCTCTTGTAGAGTTTGACTGCAGGAAAGTTTGTTTTTGTAAATGTGTATTCAATACTCATTTTATTATTGCATTACATTGTTTCAGAAATTTGAATATTTTTAATTTTTTGTTTTTTTTAAATATGCCATTGCCATGGTGCCATATTTCATGAATGAGTTCATCACCACTACTGGTGTTTCCAGGCTTATTGCTTTAGAAATTGTTCATTGAAATGTACATATTTTTGTGTGAATTAAAAGTCATCTCTTGGGTCTGAACAAAGCCTTGGTGAAAAAACAAACAAAAAGACTTGAAGTGTTTTTTTGTTTTTTTTTTTTAAGAATGCCAAAAAGCCAAGAAATCTCTAATCTTTATATTCATAGGGAAACAGAAATGCAAAAGACAAAACAATGGCCTTGATGAGAGCCATAGATAGCGGTCATATGAGTAAAAAAAACCTCAAATATAGACAGCTCTCAAAGAACCAGCTGACCTGCAGAATTGGCATTACTTGGCCATAGCCTAAAGCCCTGAACGTAGACAAGAACCAAATGATTAATACCTTATAAAAACATTGAATGGACTTCAGATTTTTTAATAAAAATCTCCTAAATTATTAAATATTAGTTCCTCCTACCTCTTTTTTTAAAAAATTCATTCTGTTAAATTGTATCATTATCTTCTCATGCACTGAAAACGACAATACAAACAAAACAAAAAATGTTCTTCCTTTTAATACATGCATGTTCTATGTTCGCTACATTTACATTTCCTTAAGCTGAAATATTACTTACACCAGCACCCCGTTGATAAAAATTTGTACTCATTTCAAGGGATCATCTTAACACCTCTTTTGATTCACCCCAGGTTAATAGGGTTATCGTCATGCCATTTAAAACTGCTTCCTTAAGACAAGTCAGGTGGCTTCAGAAGCCGTTTTCCTCACCCCCGGGTCATCCATCACATGTTTTTGTTGAACTTCCCTTAAGACTTTGGAGTGATCCATTAGTTGTTGTTGTTTTTTTTTGTTCTTCTTACAGTTCTCTAAGGTTAGAATGGGGTTAAGAATTTCCGTGCTAATTAAGAAATGCAGGCAAGACCCCCACGGCATACTTAGGTTCAGAGATGAGCCTTATTTTTTCATGTTTGTTTACATTGCAGGAAGAAAAATCACATTCTTAAAAAAATATCACAAAGCAACTCACAAAGCTCAAACAACAACAACAACCACGAAAGAAAAAACATTTCGTTAAGTAGAAATCACGGAGAGGTGCCATGTTTGATTAAATATCGTGATTGTAAAGAAAGAAGGCAAGTAAACTATGGTTTTAAAAATAGGAAGTAAAGAGGGCTGTTAAAAATGGTTCACCTTGCAAGTCTTTTTTTTTTTGTGTTACACCTCTGAAAATAAGATCTTTACCTTTCCGTCAGGCCTAAGGTCAGGGGTCAACTTGTTCTTCTGTGTATTTAATAGTGGGTTTACAGTTAAAATAAAAAAAAAATAAAAAAAATAAAAATCTATCCCAACCCTTTCTGCTCCATTTACCAACTCTTTAAAATATTGATAGTATCAAAATACAACATTCTCTATGTAACAATGTCACTAGCGTTACATGAAATGAACATGAAATCATGTTTAAAAAAGCCCGATACCTGAGATAACTGAGATTCTTAAAAACACCCAAAAAGTGCGTTTGGTGAGTAGATCTAATATTTTCTTGCGTTTTACGGAAATAGTATGTTTTTTTTTTTTAAATGGTGTTATAAATCTGTGGTATCAAAGGGTTTGGGACATTAGAATACTAATATAGTTCAGGGACGTGAAAACGAAGGTGCGGTTGCGATTCGGGGGGTGGAAAAAAAGGGGGGTGGGTGGGTTTAAGCACTATTTGAGATTCTTATAAAGTGTGTTACTTGAATGCATGTTTTATCAAATAACTTTAATAAATGGGAAGTTAGCGTGTACGAGAGCACGAACAAACCAGGAATTGTATAGTACAAATCAGGATCCCATGCTTGTAGCAGAGATAAAAAAAAGGACAGGCTACGCTGGGCGGGACATGTATGTCCAAATGACAGAGGAGTTAAGAGGGTGCACCACCATAACCCCAGAGGAAAACTATAGATACATGTTTATGAATATGAATCGAACTTTATAAGCATAGATCCATTTTTATAATTATAGAGCCATCTTTATAACTATACTAGCCTATATACCCGGCGTGGCGCGGGATTACATTAGGACCCCATCCTGGTGTATTCCCCGATCCCATTGGGACCCCAATCCCATTCTGACACCGATCTCGGCGCAGTCCCGTTTCCCGGCGTGATCCCGATCCCGGTGGATCCATTCAAGGTTAGCATCCAGATCCCGGTGAGATCCCGTTTTCTGGTGGGATCCTGATCCCGTTGGGATAAATATTATGATGGGATCTCGACCCCTTTGTTGCCATCCCGAATAAACAATTTTTTTTTAAAGCGAATTTAATTATGAGAGTGTTATATTGCTTTAATATAAATGTTTTTTTTTGTTGTATTTAAGAAGGCATTTGCCGAAAGTTTTCATTTGTATTCTGTGTAACCATTATTAAAGCTTAATCTGTATTGTTTTATTTACACAAATTGTTTGTGTCTCATTAATCTAAGTAGAATATTTTCTTAATAACTTTTTAGAGGAGATATATACANATGTAGACTCTAGCTCTGTTGAGGCTTCAGAAAGATGTAGACTCTAGCTCTGTTGAGGCTTCAGAAAGATGTAGACTCTAGCTCTGTTGAGGCTTCAGAAAGATGTAGACTCTAGCTCTGTTGAGGCTTCAGAAAGATGTAGACTCTAGCTCTGTTGAGGCTTCAGAAAGATGTAGACTCTAGCTCTGTTGAGGCTTCAGAAAGATGTAGACTCTAGCTCTGTTGAGGCTTCAGAAAGATGTAGACTCTAGCTCTGTTGAGGCTTCAGAAAGATGTAGACTCTAGCTCTGTTGAGGCTTCAGAAAGATGTAGACTCTAGCTCTGTTGAGGCTTCAGAAAGATGTAGACTCTAGCTCTGTTGAGGCTTCAGAAAGATGTAGACTCTAGCTCTGTTGAGGCTTCAGAAAGATGTAGACTCTAGCTCTGGTGATTGAGGAATTTTCTTTCGGTTTAAAGTATTTTCTGAAGGGTTTCCTTAGCCCTTGACTTTTGTCGTCACTCACAAACAGTACCAGGTCATTGTGCAACCACCCCCCTCCAAAACATTTATGCCAATAAAGTAGCCCATTGTGTATCTATTACTGAAATTAATGGCGTGGCTAGGGTGTTCGGAGCCCGGGGAAAATGTTCCCTTCCAACCCCCACCCCCACTCTGAAAACCCTGTATTTTCATCAACATAATACTCTCAAAGCCCCATTGTTTATTTTAGTTATACTGCTTTAAAAATATACATGCAAATGGGCAATCTTATAAGCAATTCTTTAAACCAAGAATCACTGTTCAGAATACATCTTTTTTTGTTAAATTAAAAATATTGTATGACCACGAGGCTAGTTTCTCACAGTCCAGGCACTAAACGATTGGGGTTCACTCAGCAGCCAATCTGTCTTAATGCTAAGAACTTTCCATTTGTTAATTCTAAACAATTGTACTGCAAATGCAAATATTCTAAGATTATCACGCATGCTCATGCAAATCTTCTAAGATTGTCATGCATTTCTTATGCAAATCTTCTAAGATTATCACGCATTCATCGTGCAAATCTTTTAAAATTATCACGCATTTCTCATGCATATCATCTAAAATTATCACACATTTCTCATGCAAATCTTCCAAAATTAGCACCCATATTCCATCAAATTCTTCCAAAATTAGCATGCATTTCTCAAGTAAATCTTCTAAAAATATCACGCATTTCTCAAGCAAATCTTCGAAAATTATCACGCATTTCTCAAAATTTAAACTAGAATAAATTTGATAGAGATTTGCTCACAAATTATTTGAAATCTAATAATATAAAATTTCACACTAGGCACAGTATAATGAGATTGTTTAGAAGAGAAATGGGAAATAACTGAACTCAATGTTTGAAAGCAAATAAGGAAAAATATTTAGAATTGCACAGTATTATTCAAATCGTATTATCTTTAATCTTAAAGTAAAATTTAATTTGCTGCAATGGGCCCATTGATAGATTCATCTGGTACTTGTGCATCCAGGTACAGATTCCCTAAGGGAACGTGCACAGAATGACAGATTTATCAAAGGACATCAGTATCTAAATTTTTTATAAGGTCTTCACTTGGGCATTTGCAACTAATAGAAAATTTGAATTTTGCTTGTGCAAAAATTAATTTTTAAAGCTTTTGTTGCTTGGAATTACTTGTGGCTACTCATTCATTACTTTTAGGTTTGTTGAGAAATGTTTTAGCATTTGGAAAAAGAAACCAATCTGTTGCCATTTAATGAAATAATTCATTTCAATCTACGTTTTGATGTTTATGAAGAGATGCCATACACATGTGATATATTCTGGAACACAAAATATGCTACATAAAGTTACTGATATCTTTGCACAATACTATTATCTTGTCTCCAGTAAACAATGGTAGCACATCCTTCTATCCCCTATGAAATGTGATGTTTGTCTCTGGGTGAAGTACATTCTCTTAGCCAAGTCTCGAGGAAAGCATTTGTCACTGGAGTAATCACTCTGTACAATTTTGGTATACAATATGAGGAGCCCATGGTTTATCTTGATCTCCAATCTTGGCACCAGATAACCATATATATGTACTTATTTTTATTAAACTCAGTACAGATTCCTACATGTTGGAAATAAAATCTATTTGCGGGCGTTTTACCAGATTAGTCTGGACAGTTTTAGAAAAAAACATTTATGTAATCTAATAAGATCATAATTTCACATCTAAATATTCCCCCGCCCATACTTAGTTAATAAAGTAGAAATAATTCAATTTTACACTTTGAACTCATCAATTTTATGGCAATGCATATTATAATAAAAGGGAAGTAAACAATGTCTTTATTTACATTTACACACAAAATTTTGTTAATATAGACACGTATATTATCCATTTAAATTTTGTAAATGTAATGAGATCCTAATATGGCAAAATTGACCTTATAAGACTTCTAAAGAGAAAACTAAATTTTTAGAGATTCAACAATATCTTAAAAACTAGAGCTGTTTAAGATAAATATGATAGAAAGTTTGGAATCAATACCCTATATATTATTACAAACAGACCTAAAACACAAGGCATGAAGAACTATTTTTTTTTTAGTACACTAGTTTAAAAAAAAAAAAATTGGCCCATTTATTTTTGGTTCACATCAGAAAATGTACAGCAAGCAATGATAAATATTCTAATGTTTAACTCATTACTCGCTTTTGCTTATGAACTAAATATGAAAATAGGCTTTGATATTTGTACAACTAATGCAAATTAAAAAACTCCATTGTTTAAAGTTTTTGCTCCACTAAACTCATTATATTATTATATTAATTTAAAAGGCATGAAATTGTTCTGTATCACTTTCCATTATTTTATTGTATGTAGACCTCTATTTATCATTGAATTACATAACTCAACAAAAAAAACTATTCCCTTTCAAGTAGTAATTTGAACGGTGAAAAAGCTGATGTACTTGAACATTCTTAGACATGAAATTTTATCAGCATCTTAGCTTATATAAAAAATACATAGAGCTTTCATATTTTAAATAATATTAAATTAATATATATAATTTTTCTGGTTAACAGAAGAAAATCTTCATAACTAATATAATTTTCTCTTAGAAGAAAGAAAAATCAGCAGCAGCTTTGTCTGGATGTGGCTTTTTTTTAACTGCAAGGAAATGTTGATCATGATGTCATATTTGACTATGTTCTGGCCAACTTGAAGCTGTATCACAGAGGGATTGACATAATTTTACATCTCTTTCAAAGTAATTCATCCAGTATTGACCCTCGACCTTATTTTATTTAATATTTGGTCCTGGTCCACTGTTTCCAGAATGTGAGGAGCATTGATTAATACACCAAGAGTACCTCCAAGAGAAACTAGGATGAAAATTACCATTAGGAGTCTGTCAAGAACTGCTGCAACATATTTCCAGTCATCAAGGACCTAATTAAAAAGAAATGATGTATGCCTCAATAAATTAACTTTAAAGGTTAAAGCTATATAAAATTTAATATAAACTCATCAATTCATTTAATAAAACAATGATTGATTGGTGAGAAAACAAATTTTATGTTATAATTTAAAAGCATTATGGTAGCCTACACTTAAACAATGAAATGACAATAATTGACCATTATTAGATGAGATGTTGAAAAAATTAAATAAGCTGCTAAAGATTTATAGATTGTTAAAAACTCTTTTTATACATAATATTCATCAATTTTTTTTTGGTAAAATCTAAGAACATATTATTTTGTTAAAAATATAGAAAACATCTGCATATTTTTTTTAAAGATGTGAAACAAAACAATTTATTATGCTTACTGTATGATAATCTTCCTTGTTCCTCATTTGTCTACAAATAAATTTGATTGCATTGCTTGCACTATATATTTCCTTTGTTAATATCAAGGGACTTGAGCGCGGTCCTGCATGTGCTACTGGCCTAGCCAAATCTAGACTTCTCCCACCATCTAAGCTTTCCTCAGACTGACTTGTTCCAGAGTCTCTCAGCATGCATCTGTGCCCATTGGTTGGAAAGTTAGGAGGAACAAACTCACGCATTTCCATTGTTGGATTATCAGCTGGAAATTTAACATAGAAAATATATTTTTTTTTTAAATTAAATATTTATGATTTTAATTATCATATCATATAATAATATACATATAAAAGTGAAAATTTGTTTGCGTGTTTGTCTGTTTGTTCCACAATGGCTTTTACATGGATTGATGGATCTTGACCAAACTTGGCACATATATCCATCATTATCCGGAAGGAAATCTTAAGGGGTTATGAACTTTTTATAACTTCCAATATGAGCTTTGTAAAAAAAATTACTAAAAACTTACTCCTACATGAATAGATGGATCTTGACCAAACTTAGTACACATACACTTGAGTATCCATTTTCAAATACCAAAGGGTACTGAACTTATAATATCCATGTCTCTGGGGCCGGGGCCCCATTTCATTTTTCCTTATATAAGCTATATAACTATGAATAGCCTTAGACAACACTTTAGGTTCTATGTGAATTCATGGATCTATGCCTAGCTTGGTAGCAGTACCAGTCATTATTCATTTTGAAATATCGGTGGATTTAAAACTAATAGTATCCAATCTAGAACTGTCCAGAATGTTTGATAATTTTAAAAAGCAATATCTAAGGTATTTTTAAATATATTTTCATGGGACAAATTTTAAATTTTAACTTCATAACTTATCTTTCAACTTGAATGTACTGCAGTTATAGTAATGCATTTAGTTGTATACTTTTTCAGATTCGAAGAATAATTACCTAGAAGAAAATTTTGTTACAGGTTTAAAGGAGGATATTACATTTAATCTAGAATGTTACAGGAATGTCTATTGTTCTACGACGATATATATTGGAATCTAAAAGGGTATTGAAATTTTAGTTTAGTTCTAGACTGTCATAGGTATTTGCTTTAAACACACCCTTCATAAGCTTACCAGGAAGAAAGTCCCAATGGGATATGGGATCCCATTTGAAAATGGGATTCTAATCGGGATCAGTATCCCAATGGGATCTGGATACCATGGGGTCAAAATACCGATGGGATCGTGCTCACATAGGAATTTGGTTTCCAGAGGGATGGTGATCCCACCGGGATCGGGATGCCATTGGGACGGAATACTGGCGAGATAGGGATACCAATGGGATCAGGACGCAGTCCCGAGCAACCCCGGGTATAATGGCTAGTATTAAATAATTTGCAACTACCATGTTAAATATATTCTAGATATAGCCCGCCAAACACTGGTGACAGCAATGGGTGAACTTCCCATCTACTAAAGTTACTTGACAAAACATGAACTCAAGTAACGCACCTTTAAGAATCCGAATTTTCGCTACACCCCTTCCCCAATGATATGCCACTGCACACTTTTTATTTCATACCCATGAACTATATAAAATATAATGATGTCTCTACTACTTTCAAAACAAATATTTTTTACAGTATACTTAAATTGAGACAATTTCATTTTCCGAAAAGAAAATATTACGCACCAAAAGCAGTTGCATTATATACAAAATATTTTTAAAATATATCACTTAGCGTAGTAGTTATCGGGAATTATATTGAACTAATTATTGAACCATATTTTCTTTCAAGCATTTAAATTATTTGTAATATACTCTCAATATCGAATTCACTGATTATGAAGCAGTCCACGAGTCACGCCAGTAGCATAACATATAAGAGATTCAGTTTTAAAACCAAAGTAGTGATATCAATGTAACATTAAATGTGAATGTATTCCCTTTCTTAAATTACTTAGTTATATATTATACATAGATTGTTTATTCCCTTACTTAAATTACTTAGTTATATATTATACATAGATTGTTTATTACCTTTCTTACATTACTTAGTTATATATTATACATAGATTGTTTATTACCTTTCTTAAATTACTTAGTTATATATTATACATAGATTGTTTATTCCCTTTCTTTAATTACTTAGTTATATATCATACATAGATTGTTTATTCCCTTACTTAAATTACTTAGTTATATATTATACATAGATTGTTTATTACCTTTCTTACATTACTTAGTTATATATTATACATAGATTGTTTATTACCTTTCTTAAATTACTAAGTTCAATATTATGCAAAGCTTGTTTTCTCTTTTCATTTCCTTTACATACAAATATTACTATAACATTTTTAAAAGCTTTGTATCCGTTAATTACTGTCATATTCTTTGCATTGTGAATAAGTGGTTAGCAAAATAATTTTTACAAAGCTATTTAACTTTATAAAATTATTTTTTTTTACAAAATTACTTCTGCACAAGTTTTCAGATTAAAAGGTTTTAGGAGAGTGTGCTATATTAATTCTAATTGGCTAATTTTTGCAACAACAAGAAAATGGAAGATATTAGAATATTAGGTAAGTTGTTTTGTTAAATTGTCTAACCATCTGAAGAAAGATGGCTGCCTGAAGCTGAAGATGACACAGTGACACCACTGGCACCTGGTGAGTGACTCTTGCTGAACTTCTGTCTCCATGCGATGACTCTTTCATTCTCCCTGTAACAGTTCAATAAGAAGTAAGTTTACGTTACATCATATAAAATTGTGCTATGAGTGAATTTCAGTAAGTATTTTTAGAACAAGTCTGTTTTGTTTCTCTTTTAGAACTAAAATTCAGTTCTACACATGTAAAGTTTTCATGTTTATATATTTCATTTCCTTTTGTTGCTGGCCGGGTCTAAGAGCCAGCATTGAATAGAAGACATAGAATGTCAATTATAAAGTAAAATCCCGGTTAAAAATGGAATAGACATTTTGTAGAATGTCAAGGTCATTATTTGCAATCTGGGATGTAAGCAAGCCTAAGTACCCATGGATATTGATTCACAAGAACATTATCTAAAATTATTTAGGTAGTAAATCTGTCCAAAAATAAAAATCTCTTTTAAAAATGTGGAGCCTATTGAAATTTATAATTCACAGCTATAATTCCATTAATTACCTTGAATCTGTATTCAGAACTCCATGCTTTTTCTTTAGCTTATTTTCAGCTGCAAGATTTCTCAGGAATATATTTGCTCGTGGCACCTGATAGATGTGTAAATAGTAAAAAATGAGTTTTAATATTTTTGGTTTATGTGACTGATAGCCTTCTTGACAATATTAATTTTTTTAAAAACAAAACTATTTTTCCAGCAAATAAAAGTACTTGGATAATTAATATTTTTAGGGCAACACAATTAAGTAAAATAAAATCAAAATAAATTAATATTTGCCCTGTACCCAGAATCCTACTGAAAATGCTCAAAATGTAAGAGATGAGAATTCATTTAAGAAATAACAATTTTTGCAATACATTATTTGAAATTGAAAAATCTCACCTGAGGAGTATTAGGGTATGAAGGTGGAGGTGTGCAATTCTTTTCTTGCCAGCGTTGATCATGGTTTGGACGTTCCATGAATAAATACTTTGGAAGCCTAAACAATATTTTAATTATTTTATTATAAAAGTCGTGGAAAAAATGGTGAAGTATTAATTAATTAACGCAAACTAAGGGTAATTAATTTTGTAATTTTTAAACAATATCTTAGTAATAAAAAATAATTTGAAAAAAAATAAAAAAATATAAGAATGAAAAAACTTGAAAAAGTCGGAATTAAATTAAATGTTAACTCCCTTGGCTTAAAAATGTTCTATATGTTTTAACGTGTTAATTGTTCTAAACAAAAGGGACGAACTTGTACAGAAACAGCCAGCACATCCACTTAGGCATGATGTCAGTTCTCGGTGTTTTGTGGTTGGCAAAGATAATTAAAACCGTGACAAGAATCTCTAGCACGTTCATTATAAAAGTAAAAATAAAATACTTGGCTATCAGTGGAATTGTCATAGAAGGGGGCAAAATCTGTAATAATTGGAAGGAAAAAAAAGTTATTATACTTGCAGTATTAAAAAACATTTAAATTTATTTATATCTTTTCACACAAAATACTGCTTATAGTTTGTGATTTTCTATGAATTTGACTTTTATGAAACAAAAGCAAAAAAGAGGAAAATTAAATTTTCAAAAAGTTTTATCCTTGCAAATCTAATTTTAAAACCATTTAAATAAATTGTCTGAATTCATATTAAGTCATTGTCACCACAGGAAATGTATCTTTACAATTAATTTCAAGAGACTGTATAGAACATTACAAGATTTTTTTTTGTGTTTTGTTTTTTTAACTAACCTAAACTTTAATCGCCTGTTGACCTTTTTAGAGCAATCAAGAACTTTAACAAATTAAAGATCTATTTATGTTTCTGGAAGGTTACCTACAACCACAAGAATGCTTTAAGTGTAAATGCTGTGACTCACCTTCTGCAGCAAGAGCAGAAACACAACAAGTGACACGAGAACTGAAATTACTAGGGTAATTTTTTCCGACCCATCAGCTGGCAGAACGAACACACATAAACAGACCAAGGCATGAAGGAAACAAGGAATAATCAAGTTGACAGTGTAGAATAGTGTCTTGCGGCGAATCACCAATTTAAAGACAACAATTTCTTTGAACTGTTTTTTTTTTTTTTTTGAGAAGTAAAAATATATGTTAATTAGTTGGTATTTTAAAGCATGATAAAAAGAATTTAAAGTAAAGCAAATAATTAATATCACATAATATATTTTATTTACTTTGAATAAGTTGTAAATCCTGATGTTTTATGATTCAAGATTGTGATGAAAGAACTATAGTTCAGATCAAGTTATTTCTGAATACCTTTCTGTAATGGTGAGTCTCAGTGATAATTTAGTTTTCCCTTTGCATTAATTCTTATACAACAATTAATTTACTTTTAAATATATTGTTATTCCAGTTAATCATATGTTATACCTCTTGTGTTATAGAGTCCCTTATGTATTCAATAGATCCAGGGCAGTCAATAATATCCCAGGCCCCATTCTTCATATAGTCGCTGAGGTCTAGATTATTGTTGCCATCTTGGAATTTATAATTTAAGGTTTTTCCTTCAAATGTCCATGACCCAAATTTCATTTCACATTCCTAGAATCCATAAATTATAGATCACTAAATAAAATTGAGAATGGATATCAAGTTTTAGAATTTTGTGTAGTTAATGTAAAATGACAAAAAGTATATTTTTTAACTTGGATGCCATTGGTATAAAACATTTATTAGTTTTCAAAATGTTCAAGCTTTCAATTAATTTACCAAAATTATAATTAATCAAATGGAAATATCATTTTAAAATAAAAATTACTTTCTGTAATCCTACTTCCAGCAACAAAAGGAAATCTACATAAAGATTTTTTTTTTAAACTGTGATCTGATACTTGTTATAGCCTACATCTTTTTTTGTTGTTTTCTGATGAAGGCTCTAAGCCCAAATGTCAAAATATTTTGTCCTGTCTATGAATTCAAGTTTGGCATACCATGTTCTTATATTTCTTTTACACAACTTGAATGCAGTCCATCAATTATTATAAAATATAATCAAGGCCATGTGAGATTTTAAAGCATTTTTATTGACATAAACTATTGCCAATTTCTTCTGCTCTTACTGCAATTCAGAAAGATAAATTAATGGGAAAAAAATTAAAATACAATTTAAGGAACTTAACGTACTTGTTGATCAAATGGAAAGTACTCCACATCAATAGTACATGAACTGGTGTAGATAGCAGGAGGTATAAACTTTACATTACCATTGTATTCCAATACACAATTTGGACTATAGGAAGGCTCAAAGTTACCATCAGCACTGACAATAGAAAAAAACATTTAAATATATAATAATGAGATCATTTATTTTTATTTTTTTTGCATTTCTACACTTTTCAGTTATATTTAATCAGTAAAAAAAAATTATTTTCTAAATTTTAAATACATAATGCGTGTTTTTCTGCATGTAGACTTTGTTAGCTTGAGTTTCTTTAGTAACTGACCAAACAAGAGTTACTTTCAAGAAGACATATTTCTTTAGTGTAATAATATAATAAAATACTGATTGTTGATTATAAAAGAATTTATAAACCATTATTCATGAACTATTCAACGCCGGCCTTAGGTAAACTTTCGCCTTGTGCGAAGCACTCATTCGGCGCCCCTTTCCCTGTCCCTGTATGGCTCCGCAATTTTTTCGGATTACGACTTAAGCTCCGGAGCACGTGTTGTGATGCTATGCATCTAGCTAACCGTACATGATTTAAAATGCTCATTAATTTAGACTGTTTAGTTTTTCTACGGTACTTTGTTCCATTTGTGTTAGTAGATTAATTTCCTCGACCTTTCGGTTGGTCCCAACCCCAGTGTTAGTATCCAAATCAAGAGTGTAACTTTCATTGCATGAAAAGCGATTGTAAGAAAAAGTTAGAATACCGTTTTTTGACCCCGGACCCGAGATTCACACTTCACTATAATAAACTAAAGGAATTTAAATATTAACTTGGTGCCCCAGGCGCCCCTATGGCCATGGCTCCCTGTGCGAGGGCACAGGTCACACACCAAAGAGGCCGGTGTTGAACTATTACATATAAGAAAAATAAACAATGACTTTTAGCTTAGCCAACATATGCATTGACAAACGCAAGTGATTGGAAATTAAAGAATGCTATGACATAAAATAAATTAAAAACGTGATGAGAAAAAACATTTGAAACATAGAGCTTCGTTTAAAATAGCCAAAATAATAGCCCACATTTGAAATATCTCTTACTTATTAAAGAGTACAACATCAGGTACCCAGATGTGTTTGTTGTCTATCTTGATCTGTGTAATGTTGCCATAATTCTTAGGTTCCCACACCAGTTGATAGTCATTCCAATACTGAAAAAAATTGTGAAATATCAATGATACCTTTAGAGGGATGCATGAAAACAATTGTGAAATATAAATGATACTTTTAGAGGGATGAAAACTGACAAGTGTAATTTAATTTAATCAGAATTAGCTGAAAATAAATTAATTGCTAATTTTTTGGTCCTAAAACATGTTTGGTATTAACTGCTTTAATCTAGATACGTTCGTGGATTTTAGTAAATAAAAAAATATATGACGTCTCAGATTGTTTTCAGCTAATCATACACTTTAAGTACGATTTATTGACACTGAACTTTTTGATTTCACATGAAGCAGCGTTGTTAACCTAAATGAGTTAGAGGGCAGGACACGAAAATTCAATTTTCAATACATTTATTGAAATCATTGATATTGTATCCAAAAAAAACACAAGACGGTACTGACCATCTGCAACCAGACGTTGGTGATGATGACCTGATTCTTCTCATCCACATTGATAATAGCACTGAGCGCAAGGCTGAAGGATATCTGGAGACTGTCACTTGTGTTGACCACTGGTCGAATCAGACTGTTGTAGCCGTTTTTGAAGAACAGGTCGTAATTGAGTTTACGTTCATCTAGGTCTGAATACAAATGGATCCATTACGAGGGGAATCAGAAACATAAGCTTTTAAACATGGGCACTTTTCAGGAAATAATCTACTGCAATTTGACACCTCCAGCATTCTTGTTTGAATACTGCGTCAAGTATTATAATCCTTAAAACGCCAAGACTGCTCATGCAGTTCTTTTTAACGCGGTCTCAATTTCTATACAAGAGAAGCCTTTATTGACTTAGGAAGACATCCCGGCGAATAATCAGAAATGACAGTTCAGGTATACACAGGGTTATATAAAAAAACCGGTAACGAATTAAGGCAGAATAGGAATTAATGTTTGCGTGGTTTACATTTTTTTAATCCACTTTGGAATTAAAAAAATATACATTGAGGTTCCGAATGCTAAAATTAGAATGTCTTTGATGATACGATGTTTTCATACAGATCTTTTAACAAATATTTATTTCTCACATGTTTATTTTATCAATCTTTTCTAGAGATTTCAAATCATAATAATTCAATATCCAACTCCACTATGTACCAACTTAAACCTTGAATAAGTAGACAACGGAATACTAGGCAATGATGTAGGCCTAGTTAAAACACATGTAAACATACCGGTATTTGAGACTCTTGACAAAAAAATTATAAAGGTTTCTGTAACATGTCTTAATGAATATAATAATAATAATAATTAGTGGTCTTATATAGCGCGGCCCCCCAGCCTAGTGCTGATCTATTCACTGCCAATAAGTCTCTAAATTAACCATAATAGACAATGACATCACCCTTGACATCACAGCCACTTCTTGGCGTTTCCTCGTATATACTGGTCGATCTATATAATGGTGATGGTCATAAGTCAACAGACAAAATGGTTGGTAAGGGTTCATTTGTAATTATTTTAAGTGCTGCTGGCCAGGGGAAATCCAGGGGAAGGGGTTTAACGCGATTCAACTGTTTGTTTAAGGTGGGAGACATTTTTATATGTTGAAAACAAAACACACAAAAATAATCGAAAATTGCGTTGAGACAATAGATGATAAGAATATGTGTTAGCGGTGTATGGTAAGAATGTATTAGCGATGGATGGTGGCTCGTTGTTTTCTTAATCAGCTGGGTGAAGTGTCCTGTGATTTATATCGCATGCATCTTAGCACTGGAAAGACGTAGAAATTGGGCCTAAAAGCAAATACCCGCATTTGTCACAAATGGGAGATTGAGTTGAAAACGAAAGTTAGAAGTGCAGCGGATACATTTAAGACATTGTCTTCTGGTAGGGAGAAGCTGCAAATGTATAAGGGTGATGATTTATAACAGGAAGTCCTACACAACCCCGCCACATAAAAGCACCAAGTTCATACAAAATTACTGGGGCACTATGGTTTCCTACGACGCGTACTATAACATTTTAAAGGTAGAAAATAAAACGACACTTAAAAAACAATTTTTTTCGTATAAATCTTTTATAAACATTGTTTTTATAAATTAATTTTATATTAATACTAATGTCTCACCCGCATTTCGATCGTAGATTTATTTCACCGACTATTTAAGAGAAAAAAAAAAAACTACGCACAAGATGAACTTGAGATATTTTAAAAAAGAATCTTGTGTAGTGACATTAGTGCCATCATATTTCCTTCATCGCCCCCCTGGGAAAACATATTTGTGGGGGCTTGGGGTTGTTGGATGGGGCTGAAAAATTGAAAGAATGTGTTGTCATCGGCAGCGAGTCTATGTGGCAAGTTTCAGCTCGATAGGTTGATGGGAAATGGGTTCATGAGCACTCCGAAAATTTAGCCCAAAGCACACTAAAGGGAAGTTAAAACTAATATTTATTTTTTAAATAATCCACTATTAGCTTGATGATTTTTCGCTTGTACCACAAGTCACCCAAACACAAATTTAAAAAAAAATGTCATCATAAATAAACAGTAACACACATAACAATGATTAGCCTACTAATGATAATGTTTAGACTAGCAATAATAATGTTTAGCCTACCAATATTAATGTTCGGCCTACCAATAATAATACATTATTAATATTATTAAAATTTAAAGTGAGAAATTATTTTTTTTAAAATAAGTTTAAGGTTAATATTGAAGAGATCACTAAAGTCTCCAAGGAGTATAAATATTTCAATGCTTCCAGGGCATGGTGACAGAAACAAATATGTCATTGCTTCCAGGGCATGGTGACAGAAATAAATATGTCATTGCTTCCAGGGCATGGTGACAGAAATAAATATTTCATTGCTTCCAGGGCATGGTGACAGAAATAACTATTTCATTGCTTCCAGGGCATGGTGACAGAAATAAATATTTCATTGCTTCCAGGGCATGGTGACAGAAATAAATATTTCATTGACTCCAGGGCATGGTGACATAAACAAATATCCAATGAGTGGACGTGTTCGTGCCTTGGCTAACCGCATCTTGTAGAAGTAATTTTTTTAACCTATAAAAATTACAAGCATTAGAAATTATGGCCTTATAGATGTATACCTATATTATGAATTATAAGCAGTCTATTACAACTGCAAACAAGATAATTTTAAAATTTTGCGAATTAAAAGAAGTATAGATATATATTTAGGTATATATATATATATATATATATATATATATATATATATATTTATATTTATATATATATATAAAGTTAATCCAGTGTTAAGGTTTATTCCATATTAAGTTGTATTGATAAGTCTTGAATAAAATTCTGTATTGAGCTTATTGCAGTAGTAAAAATAATATAATTATTATTGCCATGACCTCACAATGATGCCCGCATCTCGATGGTCAGCATTCAGATGGAGGCCTAGTCAATGCCAATGAACTGGCCTAATCAAAGTTACAGAACTGGCGTAATCAAACACACTGAGCTGACCTAGTCAAAGTCAAAGATGTGACATATTCAAAGGCACAGAACTGGCCTAGGTAAAGTTACAGAACTGACCTAGTCAAAGTCTTAGAACTAGCCTAGTAAAATGTACAGAAATGACCTAGTCAGAGTAATAGAATTGACCTAGTCAAGTCACACAACTAACCTAGTCAAGTGAAAGCTTTTCTAATGACATATTTTTTTTTTAAAAATCCATTTTCATTTAAAGCTTATAATTAATTTTCAACGTTAATATTACTATCATTCAGTGATTACCAGATCTAAATGATCAATAATTAAGTCATTACTGTCACTAGAGTTCATTGATGGCAGATTTCTACGCTCGATAAATATACAAGATTCCTTGTGTTGACATTGTTATAGTTGTAAAAATGTCGTCTTAGTTACACTATGTATTTATTTATGTGCTGAATGTTATTATGTGCATTGTAATTAAAACATTTTCATTTATTTAGATCAATAAAATAAGCTTATATTATATTACATTATTTTCAACGGATTAACCTCAATGTGGGAATACAAACTTAAAATAAAGTTTTGGTCTGAGTTGAGTCGAGGCTAATCATATCTAAGCATAATTTATTTATTTGTGTGTGTAAGGTGAAGTCTATTCGGCAATTGGAAATAAAATACTGGTAGACATTTTATGTATATGTAATAAGTACGTTATCTCTTTCAAATTGTATATTATGTAATTCGTGCGTCCTTTATTTTGATGTTTTATCCTTTCCCGCGGGATCTCATTCACCGCCATACAGCTCCAATGTCTCTCTCCCCATTTATTCCTCTACCTAACCCTAATTATTTACTGATGTGTCTCCTAATGTGTCTCCAAAATGTGTCTCCTGTCTCCATTTAACATTCTGAGCTCACAGGCCACGCCCCCTCCCCCCCCCCTCAAATTCTCTCTTCGTCCTTGAACTGATCGAATCAAACCTCTGATGACTCGGAGTGTTAGAATATCGATGCAGTCTGCACAAATAAGAAATCTTTAGGAGTTCACATGCGGGCAGATAACACTATATGGACGATTAGGATAGATCGATACTTAGCATATTTGACATGATGTATCGCCCTAAGCGTCTATGGAATATGCATGTCAATGTAATCGGTGTGTTTTTAGAAAAAAAATAACAGCGTGTAACATAATGAAAGCCTCTTTGTTATGGTTAGTGTGAGTAGTGAGATAGCGAGAAAGTTTGTTTGCGCATGAGTGGTTTAGAGAGACACAGGGGTGAGAGTGAGAAAGGAAAATAGAGAGAGAGAGAGAGTAAAAGAGAGAGAGAGAGTAAGAGAGAGAGAGAGTAACAGAGAGAGAAAGAGAGAGAGTAAGAGAGAGAGACAGTAAGAGAGAGAGAGAGAGTAAGAGGGAGTAAGAGAGAGAGAGTAAGAGAGAGGGAGAGAGAAAGAGAGAGAAAGAGTGAGAAAGAGAGAGCGAAAATTATCTGATGAAACAAAGTGCTTGAAAGAAACGTTATAATTTTGGGAAGGGAAGGGTTACGGTGGGCACTGGATCAATAACTGCTGTAGTAGACAGGCTTGCCTCTAGACAAGATTATTGAAACTTGAGAGGAGGAATTCGGCTGCTCGACAGTTTCATTTTGTTTTTTCATTGCTTTATCGGGAGGGAGAGGGGAAAGGACGGACATGTTTTCTACACTAGACAGGCTGAGATAGGAAATGGGGTCAGGGAAAAAGTGAGAGGCAATGAGAGATTATATGGAAAGATGTATGCAAATATATATAAAGAGAGAGAGAGAGAGAGAGAAAGAGAGAGGGGGAGTGGGGAAAATGGAGCTGGTGAGGAGAGAGAGAAGAGGAGGAGATGGAGAGAGGAGAGAGAGAAAACGATAGGAAGAAAGAGAGAAAGAGAGATTAATAACGACAAAAAAGAATTTTAGTGACTTAAGGAGAGAGAGAGAGAGAGAGAAAGAGAAAGAAAGAGATAAAAATAAAAAGAAGGGGTGATAGCGAGAGAGAGAGAGAGGGGGGGAGAGTGAAGGGAGAGTGTGGTAGAAAGAGAGTCAGATAGAGACAGAGAGATTACGAAAGACAATAAAGAATGTTAGGGAGCAAAGGTAATCATTGAATTTCTTTAAGAGAACAGGCAACAGGAAGTTGGCATCCATATAAAAAGGAAATTAAAATTCCAAAATTCTAATGACGTGTTGAGGATTTCATCGAATTGGTTAAATGAGGGTCAATGAAAACGCCAAAATTAACATTATTTGAAAAAAAAATGTATGTGGGGATAATAATTTAAATTTGTTGAGATAAAAATGTAAGGGATATTAAAAAGTGTGACAAACCATTTAAAATTGTTTCTTAAAAGTGTTTCATATTATTAATTAATTTTGTAAACATTGAAATCCATGCTATTGATATAAACTTTTCTTTTTAAATAAACAAAACTACTAAGTACATTAGTTTAATTTTGGATCCTACTTCAGCACCTTAACCGTGTTTCAAGTATGTCGAGGTATCCATTGTTTGCCACATTGCCACAATTTTCTTGATTTCACTGGAAATAATTTTGAAATTCTAGCTTTCACGTGAATAATTCTTAAATAAAACAACATCTAAGCCAGCTGATAGCTTTAGTTCAATGTTGGTCATTAATCCTGATGCCTAGGGGGTCTTGTCCCTGACATCTGCTCGGCTGAAGACACACGGGTCTATGGGTCATATTCGATTTTCTGACTCGCCGTGAAATGGGGTTTTGCTTTAAGCCTAAACGTGAGGCTGAGCACGTCCTGAGAAGAAAAAACAAAAAGGAAATCCTTGTAACGGATCGAAACTTATTGACTTTGTAGCTTGGTCGACTTGATTCGCTGGTCAAGACAGTTGAGCGGTCCCCTTGTCTGGACGAGCCACGAGGGGGGGGGGGGCGGCGTTGAAACTCTCGACTAATGGAAATTGTAAGTTTTCCTGGAATTCGGGAACAGGAACAACTAGACGACCAGCTGTGCACTTCTTTTGGCAGAATTTCCTGCTTGAGATTGAAGTTTAAAACCTACTTTGCATACGATGAATATATTTTGGTGTATTAGTTTTATTCTGCGCCGATAACGTTAATAGGGAGTTATCATAGAGACCAACTTATTTAAATTTTCCAGTGTGGCAAGTTTTGATGCTAGAAATGTGTTTACATTTTGCACATATTTGGCAACGCAAGAAGATGAAATCTGATTTTTTGGTATTTAGAGCAGTTATCTCATACTATCTCATAATAAAGTTATGAATTTAATTATGGCCAAGCTGTTGCGTATTTCATAAGAAACGAATTGAAGAGTCGCGAAAAGGTACCACTATATTTCCAAATAATGTCTTTAAAGGCCAAGCAATTTTTAAAGTTCGCTTTGAAAATAGAAATCTTTAAATGACAAAATTTGTGGTGATAGAAATGTATTATGTTCCTTCATTATTCAACATTGATTTAAATCAAGTCTAGGAATAGGCAGAGTATCATGCAACCCAAGGTTTGTACTGGAATAGACAGAGTATCATGCAGCCCAAAGTATTTTCTGGAATAGACAGAGTATCATGCAGCCCAAAGTCTGTACTGGAATAGACAGAGTATTATGAGGCCCAAAGTCTATACTCGAATAGACAGAGTATCATGCAGCCCAAAGTCTATACTGGGATAGACAGAGTATCATGCAGCCCAAAGTCTATACTGGAATAGACAGAGTATCATGCAGCCCAAAGTCTATACTGGAATAGACAGAGTATCATGCAGCCGAAAGTCTATACTCGAATAGACAGAGTATTATGCTGCCCAAAGTCTATACTCGAATAGACAGAGTATCACGCAGCCCAAAGTCTATACTGGAATAGACAGAGTATCATGCAGCCCAAAGTCTGTACTGGAATAGACAGAGTATTATGAGGCCCAAAGTCTATACTGGAATAGACAGAGTATCATGCGGCCCAAAGTCTATACAGGAATAGACAGAGTAATCATGCGGCCCAGACAAAGTAATCCAGCATTTCTATACTGGAATAGACAGAGTATCACGCGCCCCAAGGTATGTACTGGAATAGACAGAGTATCGTGCGGGCCAGACAAAGCAATGCGACAGGTCTATACTGGAATAGACAGAGTATCGTGAGGTAACTTTCAACCAAACTAAAAGATTATATCTATATTTATATCTATCTATATATATATATATAGATATATATAGATATATATGTATAGATATATATATATCATATTAGGTCGGAAGAGAACGGATTGAGTTTGTTCGTTTATATCTATATTTATATCTATCTATATATATATATATAGATATATATAGATATATATGTATAGATATATATATATCATATTAGATCGAAAGAGAACGGATTGAGTTTGTTCGTAAGATGTAAATAAAAACTTTAACGACTAACTCGATGACTAGTCCAACACAAATGTGTCATGAGTCACGTCACGGGTCACGGCATGTCCTGCACTACTTACATATCTGATCCAATCAATAGAAATACAAACAAGCATCTTACAAATCCATGAAAAGACCACACGTCATAATCCTACGCTATTATCGATATAATCCGCTGACACACTTTGATATGTAAGACTGTGACAGAATGGGTAACCGTATGATTAGTCGCTGATCTTCTTTATGCAGTGATAGTCTTCTGTAAACTCCATTATTTGAAATAAGAGTATAACAATTTATATAAGATGTTATCAAAGCAAATAAATCAATTCATCCCGCCCCCCACCATCCCACCCCCCAAACGCACATCAGGAGTAGATGTGAACACTCTATAGCACAGCCGATGGAAATGAACAAAACAATTATTACCTCTCTCGTCCATCTCTGTGTTGCTACCAACCAGGAAACAAGCCAGCACTGCCAGCAAGATTAAATCCATTTTTTTTTAAGGTGCAAGTTTCGCATCCACATGGGTTACGTCCATCTGACCTGCACCAACAACTGGCGAGACTATGGATACACTGGTCTCTCTGTTGAATCCAATTGTAACGCTGCTCACCCCGGCCGGGCTGTTACAACATCGACCGTTAGTTGGCCGTTCGGGCCTGAGTGCAGCCGTCGGGAATACACCGCGGCCTCGGGTAGAAGTGGAACAGATAACGTTGGGCACTTGGGCACGTAAAAGGGGGGGGGGGGTAGGGGTGAACAGAGTTAGGCATAGGGAAAGGCTCGGAGAGGTACATGACGACACATCGGGTTGAAACATTTCTTTTTCTATACTTATTAAGGGCCCTCATACCAAAATATTGGTCATCATATGCTATTGAGCAATTGTTTAAGTTTCAATATTGTGAGGATACATTGTGTTGAAACAATTTTTTGTTCAAGTTGAAATGTTTTGCTTTATTTTATTATTTCTCTCGGTGAACTAAAGGGGCCCAAAAACACATACGATTTGAAGAACATTCACGTAATGGGTTTTTGTAAAACCCTAACTAAGGGGAATAAGTCGTGGATTAAGTTTTTTTTTACGCAGATGTTGCATTAACTTTAAACATGTAATTTCTATTATATTGATAACTTTAAAAAAAAAAAAATTTATATTAACTTCGCTTTTGTTCGTGGCTGACTGGCTGAATGGTAGACTGGGAAAATACGTAAACAATGAATTGGCCTACTTCCCGACCACCTATCATGCTGAAACTTGGCACATAGACTTGTTGCCGATGACAATACATTCTGTAGAATTTTTTAAAAAAATGTATTGTTTTTTTTTTTTTTTTTTTAAATTTTCTTTAATGGTTTTATTTCCTTAAACAAGAAATAATGGATTGGGGGGGTTTGTGGCAAAGCCTTTTATATTTTACTAATTTAATTGATTTTCATTTTTCAGTTTGATTGCAACCAAACAGTGTGTGGTAAGCAATCAAACCAAAATGTGTGTCGTATGCAATTGAACCAAACTTCAATTAAGTGACCTTGGAGTTAGAGCTAACAAGAAATAATGAGTTGGGGTGGTTTCGGGCAAAGCCTTTTATATTTTACACATTAAATTGATTTTCATTTTAGAGCTACATTTTGGGAAAGAATTTTTGTTGTTGCCCAGATTGGGTATCAAATCCACTTCCAGTAAATTAACAACCGCTTGATTATTTTTTTTTCCCGAGATGCCATGTGCTTGGGGTGCCATCGACGATCTTCCAAAAATAGGATAAATCATTCCCTGTGGGCGCCATGGCATGAAATAAAAAGTACAATAAAAAGATTTGCTGTTCTAAAGGCTAGGGGAAAAATGTCATCGCTAGGCTAACTGTTCATACTGTTAAAATATAAGTTAAGAAAAACAATTTTATTGTTCATTGTTTGTTAATTTAAAAAAAACAACAACTACAGAATGATCTCATTATCTAATCCAGAGTTTTTTCCTTGCACAAATTTTTTATGATTGTACCCAAAAAGGGGCGCCAAAGTTAAGCATGCCCGGGGCGCCAAAGTTAAGCATGCCCGGGGCGCCAAAGTTAAGCATGCCCGGGGCGCCAAAGTTAAGCATGCCCGGGGCGCCAAAGTAAAGCATGCCCGGGGCGCCAAAGTTAAGCATGCCCGGGGCGCCAAAGTTAAGCATGCCCGGGGCGCCAAAGTTAAGCATGCCCGGGGCGCCAGCAACCGCAGGGCCGGCCCTGAATGCCGCAGATATAATTCTATTCAACATTCACAGACAAACCCAGTTAAGCAGTTAAGTCAAAGTGGCGTTTTCTTCTCTTTCTATTTCGTACTCTATCGTTTTTTTAAAATTATTTCTGTTCCTCCCAACGTTATGACCCATTCTACCTGAGAGCGCAGGCCAACCTTTCACGAGCACGCGGCACGTTCAAACATCATGCTGAAGGTATTCAGTCATGTCGAGTCAGGTGGATGACTTATGGTAGCCAGGCGCTAGAGTTGGAGAAATATTTCTCTGGAAACACTGCCCCGTGCCTCTCCCGCTCCTGATCCCCCACGCTTGCGTGCAAAGGTAACACGCGAACACGGAATGCGTGGTTGGTTGGAAGGCGTGGAGCCAAGTTCCAATATTTATGTCAGAAGCCAAAATCATAAATAGTTATCCTTTTATAAATAAGAGTGATACTTTTGTACAGTTGGTTTCATCCTCGGTAGATGAAAAGAACAGTTGCCTGACGTAAGGTGTTGCTTTCTTAAATACTCAAATCCGGGTTGGCACAGGTCTTATTTCGAAATCCCATGTGTGACCTTCTTTCCAAATTTTTTTTTTCTATTCATTTAAAAAAAAAAACAAACAAAGGAACTTATCAATGGGAGGAAGATGGTACAAACAAACAGACAGACAGATTTAGAAAGAAAAGAGGAGCTCCGAGGGTGGTTATAAAACGTGTGCCGCAGAAGCTCTATAAATAGACTTTGACAGGCTGTTAGAAACAATACTGTAAGGACGGATTGTGTGTGTTACCTACTCCCCTTATGGCAGAGTTTCATTTGGAGTATTCCTCCAAAAAACCGATCACTGCTCGGTAACTATCCACAAATATCAAATGACGTCATGCTGGAGTGGGGAAGCTATGGAAGCGGGGGGGGGGGGGGGGGGGGGGGGGGGGGGGAAGGGCCTTTGTTATCCATCCCTTTTGTAGGCTTTCTTTTTCAACAGGAAAAAAACGCCAACATTTTTTTTTTTTCTATCCACAAATATCAAATGACGTCATGCTGGAGTGGGGAAGCTATGGAAGCGGGGGGGGGGGGGAGAGGAGGGGGGTGTGGAGAGAAGGCCCTTGATAATCCATCCCTTTGTTAGTCTTTCTTCTTCACAAGAAAAAAACGCCAAACATTTTTTTTTTAAGACGGACAGTCTTTAACTGACATGATGGGGTACTTTCCGACTGACATGGGGTACTTTGCGACCGTGTCTAAACTCAACAACCACATGATTTCAAAAAGATAGCTTGACACATGTGTAAATTTATTAAATATACAGTAAACCCTAGACATAAAAAGCCTTGAAACAGCTCTGTCCCTGACAAATGCGGTAACTCAACACAGCAGGAAACGATTTTACGACACTGGCTGAATATGTAATAATGAAAGCTCCATCCCAGCGAATAGCACCCCTTTATCCTCGGTCCTAAAGTTTTGCTTTATTTTCACGTTTCACTGTGCGGACACCCCCTACCCCATCGAAATAGATTATTTCCCAAGCTGACCAACCCTCCCCTCTAGTGACGCTACGGTCACCTGCGCTTGGGTATTTCTTACGTTTCAAGATAGTTACCGTATTATCGCGCGCTTGATCGAAATGAAGAAATGCAGGCTTGGTAAAAATGGTTAAAGCTAGACACAACCCATGCCAAAGTCGTAATCTTCTACACCTCTATTTACATTACACGGCTTTCTCCTTGAAGTGTATTTGTCGAACCATCCCGGTAATGGCCTCCTCCATTGGTGAATGGGCGATCGATATTATCGAATGACACATAGCTTTGATACGGTGACATGTGTTGCAACGTGTAGTTTTGTTGTTTTGGTGGGTTTTTTTTTTTTTTTTTTTTGACAGAAATTTTTCGTTGCTTCTTCTTGAGAAAGGAATAAATTATGAAATAAGATCAATTAGACAAGCTAATTTTTTTTTTTTTTTTTTTTTTTTTTTTTTGTTTTTTTTTTTTTTTTTTTTTTGACAGAAATTTTTCGTTGCTTCTACTTGAGAAAGGAATAAATTATGAAATAAGATCAATTAGACAAGCTAATTGAACACAATAACAATGTTTAAAAGTTGGAAACTGTTGACTGCGCTCTATATAATCATTTTTAGTATTGTTTCTAATCTAACAGTAATATGATGTCGTCGGCTGGCTTGTTTCTGTTGTACAAAACTAGCATAATAATGGAGTTTATATAAAACTATATACAATAGAAAAAAGAGTCAACGAAATTAGATATCTGTCAGATCTGAAAACAACGATATTGTGCTGCTTCTTCTATCCATCAATCCGATTGCAGCTTGCTTCACGTATAAAAATATTTATTTCCATTTTCAGTGAGAGAATTTCAAGAAACACAACTCTTAAAACATCCTGTGAAACGTTTTCCATGGAGTAGTTACCCCTGATTACCATTTTTAAAAAAAAATGAATTTCTGAAAACTTCTAAAATGATATTAATAGTATATTTAATAGTAATAATAATATTATGATCATACTTATTTTTTTAAAAAAAACGCAATACATAGTTTAGTTGTGCAAAATAGATGCATTATAATTTAAATTTAAAATCTTCCATAAAAATAGTAATGTTCGCTTTCAAAGAAATCATCCAAATAGAAGTAGAGTTTGTGTCAAATTTAATGAATAATTAAAATTAACTTCAATCTTTACTAATTTCATGTCATTTCAGATGTTTAGAGAGGTCAGGGTCAGTCGTTTAGGAAGGGGGTGGGGCGGTCCGAACCTGGCGGAACTTTTTTCTTTATATATGGGTAGGTGACGACAAAGAGACACGGCATACTTTTAATATGCTATCAATTACTACGCATTACTAAGGGATGCTTGAACTCGAATCGGCTAAATTCTATACAATGTATTTAGTAATTACTCTGACCCAGTTGAAATGAAAGAATTAGGTCAAAAAAGGAGTGGAGTAGAAAAAAAAAACTTTAACTAAGATGATAGTCGTCAAATGAAGAAATTTAAAAGATTTTTTTTTCCTTTTGATGACGCGGAATTACTTAAAATACTAGATCATTGCTGACCTATCGAACGTCAATGCTGGTCTATGTGACTTCAATGCTGGCATATGTGACGTCAATGCTGGCCTTTTCGACGTCAGTGCTAGCCTATGAGGCGTCAATGCTGGCCTATGTGATGTCAATGATGGTAGTAAAGTAAATTCACCAAAGTGATAATGACTTTTGAACATTATCATGTGTTTGCACTGTAATTTTTCCTCGGTACGTTACTTAGTCGGATGAAGGCGTGCGAGGTATTGGGTAAACTCAACTTAAGAACACAGAGTTCCTATTCGTTTCACATCAATAGTTCTTGCAGTAAGTGCAAACCTACGTAAGAATTTAAGTTCGTGTTCAGTTTTTCGGTTCGATTCGAATTAAAGTTCGTGTTCGGTTTGGTAATAAA